AGTTTTATATTTAAGGTTCACACTGAGCACTTGAAGATCAAGCTTTTGCCTTTTTAAAGTCTCCTGTTTCGCCTGGGTAGCTCAGTTGGTAAAGCTTCCGAATCTTGATTTCAGCTCAGGTCATAATCTCATAGTTCCCTGGGTTGGAACACCATCCCCACCCCCATCAGGCTCTGTGCTGCCAGTGCTGAGCCTGTTTGCGATTCTCTCTCTCCCTCTTTCTCTGCCCCTCCCTACTCATTCTCACCTCACTCTCTCTCTCTCAAAATAAATGAACATTAAAAAGAAAGTCTCATGCTTGTTTGAGCAGCAAAGCCAACAACAGGGACCACATGGATGCTCCTGCATAAGATCTACTAGCAACTCTGAGCTGACCAGTCACGGTAGAAACACCACCCAAAACATCTGCAGGCACACAGATGGTCTCCCAGTTTCTAAAAAAATCCCCCACGCTTTCACTGTTCCCTCTCCTCTCAACACCATTCTTGCAGGAACCAGAGAGGTTTGTGGACCCTTAAAGTTCTGCTCGGAATTTCCTTCATGACAGCACGGGGAGCAGTCCACTTACCTGGGTGACCTTGCCTGGCGTCTTAGAGTCCTTCCTTGGTAAGAAGGCTTACTTCATGTACAAGAAAATCATGTTATATTTCTGTGATCAAAACTTCGTAAGGGCCAGAAACACTCTTTCCATTTAATCATCCGAAAAACCAGTGCCTACTCACCCTGTGGACCCACTGTCCTGTATTTGTTGCCTCTGTTTTATGCAAAATACTTGAATTTTTTTCAGTATTTTTTAAATTTTACTTATGCCTTCTTACTTCTCTTGACTTTTAAAAAAAATTTACAATGCTTCAAAATTTTGCGTGTCATCCTTGCACAGGGACCATGCTAATCTTCTCTGTATTGTTCCCGTTGTAGTGTATGTGCTGCCAAGTGAGCACTACTTCTGATGACTTTTGGACCTACATTATTTAAACATGCCTATTACTCATGAATGCCACTTCTACTTTTAGTTTAAGAATTTGACTCTTGAGTTCTAATATACTTACTATTCCAATTCTTGGGTTTAAATCTTTGAGCCGTATAGGTTTTATTTGGTGTTTCTACATATTCTCATTAGACAAACTTAATTACACAGTAGTTCCCTGAATGTAATGCGATATTCACTATATATTAAGGGGTCATACAGCTCTTGCTAAAAGTGGATTTTACAAGGAAGGGGACAGATGGGCCTAGGAGAGCCTTCCAGAGTCTGATAAAAGTCTGATAGAGCAAAGAATCTTTGCCAGGACACAGGATGGCTAGATGCACCCTGTAGACCTGCCGTCGGCTCAATGCTCCAAACTCAGCCTGAGCTGCAGGATGCCCGGCGCGATCTCCAGCCCGGCGCCTCCTTCACCAACGCCCGGGCACGGAAGGGAAGTACTGCTCACGTGGAGGAAACTTCTTGACAGACACGCGCTTGACTCAGAGCAGCCAATCCCCGCGGGGTGGGGCGGGAGCATCCAGGAGCCGTGTTCGGCCAATGACTGACACACACAGCTCGCCCTACGCTCCGCCCCATCAGNTCTGATAAAAGTCTGATAGAGCAAAGAATCTTTGCCAGGACACAGGATGGCTAGATGCACCCTGTAGACCTGCCGTCGGCTCAATGCTCCAAACTCAGCCTGAGCTGCAGGATGCCCGGCGCGATCTCCAGCCCGGCGCCTCCTTCACCAACGCCCGGGCACGGAAGGGAAGTACTGCTCACGTGGAGGAAACTTCTTGACAGACACGCGCTAGACTCAGAGCAGCCAATCCCCGCGGGGTGGGGCGGGAGCATCCAGGAGCCGTGTTCGGCCAATGACTGACACACACAGCTCGCCCTACGCTCCGCCCCATCAGGCCCCTCCTGACCTCCAATTGGCGGGAGCGCTTTGGTTGCAGCGCTGATTGGTGGCTTCGCCTGACAGGGCGGTACAAGTGAGTATCTCGCCCTGGGCTGTGTCTCCAGTCTCAGTCAGGAGGCAGCGCACGGGGGCTCCGGGGAAGCCTCCAGACTGGGACCCGCGAGAGGGAGGCTAGATAGACTGACGAAAACACCGAGGACTTTGCCATGCCGCATGAAACCCTGATTTCTGAGACCTTCACCTTTACCCAGGGTAAACCCTGATTCTGAGACCTTCAAATCCCACCTGGAAGACCTTAGATCCCCTCACCCTGAGAGGCTCCAACGCCCCTCAGCCTCAAAGGACACCAAATCCCGCCGCCGTCAGGGACCCCAAATCCCCTAACTTCGTGGAACCTCACATCTCCTCAGCGTTAGACCCCAAAGAAGCTCAGCTGCAGAAACTTCATATCACATCACCCAGAGAAACGCTAAATCCCCAATTCTTAGACCCCCAAATATCCTGAGTAATGCAAGTTGCCCTCAGCCTGAGACACTCCTGAAACCCTCAGCCTGAGGAGCCTGAAATGGAGCACCCACAGAGAGAACAAATTTCCCCAACCTCAGAGGCCCTGAACAACGTCTGCCTGTGAACTCTTAAATCCCTTCAGCATCAAAGTCTCCAAATAACCTCAATGCCAGAAAACCTAAAGCCCATTACTAAGAGACTTGAAATCTCCTCAGAATGAGACTTAAAATTTCTTCACTCTCAAAGATCCCAAATCCTCTCAACCTGAGCATTCTAAATCTTTTCAGTCAGAAAGACCCCAAATCTTGTCCTGAGAGACTGCCAATATCCTCATCCTGAGGCCCCAAATCCCCTTGATGTAAGAAACCCCAATTCCCTCAGCCTGCCTGAGACCAAATCTCCTTACCCTGAAACGATCTCTGTCCCTTAGAGATTGAGCCTGTCTATACAAGATTTTTCCAGAATTCCCAGGTGGACATCCCAAGAAGCACTTCTTTGAGAAATATTCACTTCCTCTCCCTGGAACGGCCCCGCACTCAGGGGCCTCCAGGCCTCCTTGGTACTCCTCTGGCCTTGCACCTCAGGACTCTCATCAAACACCCACAGCCACATCCCTTTGCGCCTTTCCTCATATGGGCTAAGCTGCAGTTGAATAAAAGAAACAAAATCTAGCCCACATTAAAATGGCCTGTAGTTGTTAGTAGAGATTCTCCATCCCATCAACACCTGAAGGTTTCCCCTGCTTCTTTTAATTCTCCCTGGGATGCCCACATCTCCTGTCCTGGATACCCCGCCCCAATGGAGAAAACAGATATGGCTCTGGGCAGTGGTCTGCACTGTCACCCCTTCTCAGAATCTTCTCCTTCCACAGGTGCCTTGGCCTTAGGACAGAGAGACTCATGGAGCCATTGCCAGCCTCATAGTCAGAGTTGGACCAGCCTGTAGTTCCCAGCACCATTAGCCTCCACAGGTTCCCGGAGGTTACCATTGATAGAAAGTCAAGAACAAGATGGAAGCCCATGGTGAGAGGTGTGGGAGAAGCTGGATTCCAAGCTTCTTGAAGAGGATGAAGAGAGGGGCCTGGTGACCAGGAGCTGGTCCTTAGGGGATCGCAGACCCTTGGCTTACACCAGTGAATGTACACAGGATAAAGGGCACTCGTTCCTTTATGGGACATTGGTGGGAGAGGGGGGTACACAGGACAGTAGCATCAGCAATTTCCCTTTATCAAGAGAGAGCTAGTAAAATGCTTAGTGTTTGTTCAGTTAATCAGGACACCATCAAGAAGGACAGAAACCCTCTACCCTTGTTTAACAGAGAGCACCCAGGAAGCAGGGTACACACTGCATACAAGGTGGAGGAGAAGGCCTAGCTCTAAGTTCTGATTTCCATTAGTAAGTCACTGATGGAATCTCTTATTTTCTCTAGGCCAAAGATGCTTTCAAAGACATTTCCATATACTTCTCCAAGGAAGAATGGACAGAGATGGGAGACTGGGAGAAAATCCGATACAGAAATGTGAAAAGGAATTATGAAGCACTGATTATTATAGGTAACCAGAAGTGCTGGGTGCTGATGAGTCTGGGAAACATGAAACAGGTTTTCAGTCCCTGTTTGCCTCTCAGGCAGCTCTCTCTGATCACAGTTCCCTTCAGTGTGAAGACAAATCTGGAATGAAATTTTGTTCTCTTCTATCAGTGTAGGGCTTGCACTGGCAATGCACAGCTCATCTCTTGCCTTTTTCTAGACTCTCTCAGCCCATCCAATTGTGTTGCACTGACTGGGAGATGCACTTCATTGCCACTGCTTTGTTCCTCCTTCTAGCTCTTCCCTCTTAGGACAAGGATTTTGATTCTTTTCAGGTCTCAGAGCCCCTCGACCAGCTTTCATGTGTCACCGCAGGCAGGCCATCAAACCCCCAGTTGATGACACTGAGGATTCCAGTGAAGAATGGACGCCAAGGCAGCAAGGTAAGGGGCCAGGAAGATTTAGATGTTTCCTCCTGAAGCCCATGGCTTAGGTCTCAGCTGCATCTCAGGAGTTTAAATAAAAGGAAACTATCTACTCAAAAGCATAAATACAAGATGCAAAACAGAATATCACACAGTAAGAGGCTGTTCATATAAAATTTTAAAAATTATTTATTTCTAAGAGAGAGTGAGACAGTGTGAGAAGGCGAGGGTCAGAGAGAGAGGGAGGTACAGAATCTGAAGACAGGCTCCAGGCTCTTAGCTGTCAGCACAGAGCCCGACGCGGGACTCAAACCCACAAGCCGTGAGATCATGACCTGAGCCGAAGTCGGACGCTTAACCGACTGAACCACCCAGGCGCCTCTCATATAAAAATTTTAAATGTAGATTATATTATTTATAAATAGTGGCAAATGTATCAAAATCTGAACATGAAAAAGAAACGCCAAATTCAGAATAGTTATCATAAGAGAAGAAACAATGGGTGGCAGGTGGCTTTGCTGTGTCTTGATTAGCTTTTTATTTGCTTTTATTTTTGTTTTTTTAATTTTAAAATAGAACTTAAAAGATATACATATAAAAATTAAAAGATAGAAAGATAGAAAGTTTTGGCAGAATGTTGAGAGAAGGCTGAATAGTGGTGAATGTATAGGTTTTCCAGTATAATTCTCCATACCTTTCTATATGTTTAAAATTTGTCATTCATTTTTTTGAAAAAAGTTTTTTTTTACTAAACATTGTTCGTTAATGAAAGAGAAGTTAAAGAAACCTTAATTAGACTGTAAGTCCACCAAAGGGCTTTCTAAAAGTAATGGCAGTTATTCTTATTATTCAATTATTGGATTAAATGTCTTAAAACAGAAAATGATTAACATATTAATGTAAAGATACACAGTTTTTATATATACTTAATCACACACATGATCTTCATACCCCAAAATGAATCAGATTCTTTGTCTTACTTCTGAAGATGATTTGAGATAATTACCTAGTCTCCCTGATCTTTCCCACATACCACTTACCAGAGACAGCATCAGGCAGACAACATGAAGTATGATCCTTACAAAATAGAACTGAGAAGCTCACTTCCTCTTTTGGTATTCAGACAAAAGAGTCTGGAAGAAGAGTCGATCTCCCTAAACTGGAGAAAGCAACTCGGATTAGGTCTATGATTCCATCTATGGATATCAGAGATTTGAAAACCCAGTGTGTGGTTGTTCACAAAGGTTTGACAAAAAAAGGAAGTCTTCATACAGAACACATAACCCATGGTTTACTATGCATCTACACAGCTTTATCTACCCTCAGCTAAAATTCCCACCCAGTCAATTTTATTTACTGTGGTTACAAAACATAATAATAACATAAATTTACCCTCTTAACAATGTTTAAGTATACAGCATAGTATTATTAACTACAAGCACATTACTGAACAATAGATTTTTAGAACTTTTTCATCTTGCATGACTGAAACTCTATACCCATTGAACAACTTTCTATTTTCTCTCCTCCTCCTTTCCCAACGGGCCCTGGAAACAACCATTCTATTTTCCATATTCATGAAATAGTTAACTCATATAAGTGGAATCATGTAGTATTTGTCTTCTGTGATATGTTTATATCAATTAGCATAATGTCCTCAAAGTCCATCCATGATGTAACATATAAAAGATGTTCTTCATTTTTAAGGCTGAATAATATTCCTCTGTGCGTGTGTGTGTGTGTGTGTGTGTGTATAATTTTCTTTATCCATTTATTTGTCGTTGGACATTTAGGTTGCTTCCACATCTTAGCTATTATGAATAATGCTGCAATGACCTTGAGTGTACAAATATTTTATCAAGATCCTTTTTCCAATTTTTATACACATACCCAGAAACTGGACTTCTAAATCATATGGCAGTTCTCTTTTTATTTAGTATCCTCCATGCTGTTTACCATAATACCTGCGACATTTCACATTCCTACAAATAGTGTGTAAGAGTTCCAATTTCTCCACATCTTTGACAATACTTGCTTTCATCTGGATTTTTTTTCATAGTGATCATACTAATAGGTATGAGATAATATCTCATTGCAGTTTTGATTTGCATTTCCCTGAGGATTAGTGATAATGGAGCATCTTTACTTTAAAAAAATTTTTAGTTTTCAGTGTTCAAAGGTTACACTTCTTTGATTAAGTTTGCTCCTAATTATTTCATTCCTTTAGTGCTATTATAAATAAGATTGTTCTTAATTTCTCTTTTGGACTGTTCACTGTTAGTACATACAAATGCAACTATTGTTTTTTTAGTGTTAATTCTGTATCCTGCAACTTTGCTGAATTTGTTTGTTAGTTTTGACAGATATTTGTGTGGAATCTTTTGGATTTTCTACATATAAGATCATGTCATATGTGAACAAACATGACTTTTCTTCTTGATTTCCAAATTAGATGTACTTTATTTCCTTTTTTTTTCCCTGTCTAATGCCCTGGCTAGGACTTCAAGTACTATGTTGAATAGAAGTTGTGAGAGTGGGCATCCTTGCCTTATTCTTGATCTTAGAGAAAACGCTTTCAATTTTAAACTGGAGAGTATGATGTCGGAGATAGACTTTTCATATATGGCCTTTATTATAGTGAGGTAATTTCTTTCCATTTGCAGCTTGTTGAGTTTTTTGGTAATGGAAGGTCAGTATATATGTATATACACACACACATACATATATATGTATACAGTATATATACATATATCACTATGTGTAACAGATGAGTTATGAACACAGGATGATGCATAAATGATAAATGAGGTTTGTCTATTTTTGTAACATTTTCAGAAAATTAGTTTGTCACCAGTAGCAGCACAGACTTTGATGATACTTCAAAAACCATTTTCCAATCACCCTTTGATAATCTTTGTACTCATCACTCCTTGGTTAAGAATTCTGTGTCTCTAGTGAGAATCTCTGGAGTTTAGAAACATTTACCAACTAAAACACTGATTTCTCATCACTTTATAGTCAAACCTTCTTGGATGACATTCAGAGTGGATCAGAGTAAACAACAGAAGGTAAGTATTTCCCAAATCCTGGTGACAAGAAAATCTCATGAATTTAAACACAGATAAGGGTAGGAGAATGCAGAGTATCCTGGGAACTGCTGCCTTCCTTTCCTGATCTCTTTAGCACAATATCCAGTATCATCATAACTTCAATAGTTAATTAGAACAGCAATAGGGGCACCTGGGTGGCTCAGTGGTTAAGCGTCCAACTTCAGCTCAGGTCATGATCTCAGGGTTCATGAGTTTGAGCCTCACGTCGGGCTCTGTGTTGACAGCTCAGAGCATGGAGCCTGCTTCAGATTCTGTGTCTCCCTCTCTCTCTGCCCCTCCCTTGCTCATGCTCTGTCTCTCTGTGTCTCTCAAAAATAAATAAACATTAAAAATTTTTAAAAAAGAACAGCAATAATATTAGCTATCACTTGTTTTATTTTCACTATACTTCAGACTTTATTTTAAGCATTTACATAAATAAACTCAAAGCTTACAACAACCCTATGAGGTAGGTACTGTAAATATCACCATTTATAGAGATTGAAACAAAGACATGTTTTATTATATACCTGAGATCCCAATACTAGTGGTAGTGCAATCTAATATCAAGCTCCTTTTCTAAACCACTTACAAGCTCATTAAAACTTGCATAGTTTTATAAAATTTTACATTATTCACTTGATTTTTTCAACCTCAGTTCTTTTCTAGTATGCTAAAATGAAAGATGAGCTAAGACACCCCTAAGTAAGAGAAGCTTACAAATATACTAGAATTTGTATACTGGATAGTCCTAGATTAAAGAGAGAGGATCCCCACCATCAGAGCTCCCATTTGATTTATTTATTTATTTATTTACTTACTTACTTACTTACTTACTTACTTACTTACTTATTTTAAGTGAGAGAGAGAGAGAATGAATCTCAAGCAGTTTCCATACCCAGCACAGAGCCCCACCACAGGGCTCGACCCCAGAACTCCAAGATCACCCTTGAGCCAAAATCAAGAGTCGGTCGCTCAACTGACTGAACCACCCAGACACCCCCAGAGCCTCCCATTCTAATAAGAGGAAGCATCTGAAACCCTGAGAACTTCTAGGTTTGATGACAGAAACAACATATAAAATGACTTAAAGGTTTCATATATGTTACATGATATTCTTTAGAAACTCACCTATCTGTGGGGCACCTGGGTGGCTCACTCAGTTAAGCATCAGACTCTTGATTTCAGCTCAGGGCATGATCTCACAGTTCATGAAAACTCATCACTGTCAGTGCAGAGCCTGGTTGGAATTCTGTCTCTCTCCCTGTCTCTCTGCCCCTCCCTGCTCACTCGCTCGCTAGCTCACTCTATCTCTCTCTCTGTCTCTCAAAAGTAAATAAATAAACTTAAGAAGAGAAAAAGAAACTCACCTGCCTGGAACTGACTTAAAATGTTCATACTTGTAGAACGAAGCAACGACTCGTTCCTCTGAGCTCTCATTAGGCAACTCTCATGTTGTTCAGAATCGTTTGGGTAGCCTGCCTCTGCTCTGCAGGCTCTTTCTTCTCAGAAGTCCCAGGCCCCACAGGGCTCCTGAATGTTTTCTGAGTGAGCAATTCCACATTTACAGATTACATTAGAAGTAAAAGGGTCAAGGAATGCTGAAAATAACATCTGTGATTTAGATTTTGAATATGGAGACAATTGAGAGGGTAAATTGATAGCAGGACCGCAACTCACATTCATACTGTATCAAATAGCTCATGAGACTATTTGATGATCATTAAAATATTTTCTGCTTACTATAACATTAAGAAATAGCATGTATACAGAACACCTGGCTGGCTCAGTTGAAAGAGCATGCGATTCTTGGTCTCGAGTCGTGTGTTCAAGCCCCATGTGGTCTATAGACATTACTTAAATAAATACAACTTTTTAAAAAGTTACCATGTATACCTGAAGAGAGCTAGCTGCTGGTACAACCTTATTCAAACACAATTGACAAGAACCAGCTAATCTAATTCCAAATATTCTTTCCTGGATACGGCAAGTGACAACTTTAGCATCCTTTTTTTTGTGTGTTTAGACACATTTCCTCCAACCCTTTCTTTGTTATCTTTCCTCTCTCTCTGCTCTGTCACCTCATTTTCCAGATGTGTGCAGTCCCTTCCACTTGTCTACATTTCCTCCTTCATTAAATGTCCACAAATTTGTAGATGACCCCTCTTTTTCTCTACCATCTTCTTTCACAGACCTTCTTAATTCTCCAGCTACTTTTCCCAAGTATTCTCCCTCCCTCTCACTTTTATGGAGAAATTTGAGAAAATATAAAGATAGAGAACCTTAAGCCATGGTTTCTAGTCTTGAATTCAATACCCACATATTCCTTTTTTTTTCCCTCTAGTATTCAGAATTCTCAGATATTTCCAAGTGTTGTTGAAGTATTAACCAAAGCTATTCTTTTTTGTTTTTTTATTTTTTTTAACATTTTATTTATTTCTGATAGAGAGAGAGTGTGTGTGTGAGCAGGGGAGGGTCAGAGAGAGAGAGAGACACAGAATCCGAAACAGGCTCCAGGCTCTGAGCTAGCTGCCAGCACAGAGCCCGACGCGGCGCTCGAACCCACCAACCGTGAGATCATGACCTGAGCCGAAGGTGGCCGCCTAACTGACTGAGCCACCCAGGTGCCCCTAACCGAAGCTATTCATGTGAAAACACATCATAAGCCTTACAGGACTAAAAAAATGCCTGTTGTCTTTTAATATGTGACTCTCACATTGAAGGGAATCCACAAGGTGCCATTAAGTAAGGAACCTAGCTTGAAGGAATTATCAGAAGCAGCAAAGTTGCTAAACACAAGTGGCTCAGAGCAGGGCCAGAAACCGTCCCTTTCTGGAGAAGCAAGTACCTCTGGACATTGCTCTAGACGAAAATTGGTAAGAAAAAAAATAATATAGGAACTTTGGTCCCTCTAAGTCCTCCAGAAACGTTGATGAATACAACCTATGTATGTGAAGTGGACTCTGGCTAGGCCTAGGTTAAAGCTAAACTAACCTGACACTTGTAGTTACCACTGAGGTCTTGGATAAATCTTATAAATTCTGTGAGCTCCTGAATGCTAATCTGTAAAGTGAAGATAAGAATGCATAGCTTATATATTGTTTGAAAGCATTAAATTAAACATTAAAGAATAGACACATGCAAGTTATCCAATAAATCACTCAGTGATAATAAAGACCATACTTTCTTGGTGTTGAATGCCCAGGACTTTGCTTGATGCCTAACGTGTAATGTGCCCTCAACAAATATTTTCAGAATGAAGAAACACGTGAATGAGCCATTTTCTAAGAGGAAAGATTATAAAGTTTAGCCTGATAATGGGAAAAAACTAAAATTGAATTAGCCATCTATAGTCAGTGTGGAGTCTTACTCTCTGAATTAAGAGTTTGGGCAATGGGGAGAGAGTATATAGAAGGGCAAGTAATACTTTATTAGATGAGATTTTGCATTTTCTGAAAAAAACAGGGCACTAACACTCCAGACCCCACCAACCTCAATCACATACTCTTTTCCAACTCAGAGCTCAGGAGAAGGGAGATTGAAGTGAAGATGTATAGTCTACGAGAAAGAAAGGGCTTTGCATACCAAGAAGTCAGCGAGCCCCAGGATGATGACTACCTCTGTAAGTGACCATCTTGGCCCACTCTCAAAGTTGTTCTCTCCTGGTACAATAACTTCGTCAAACAGTCTCCATACCCAGCACGGGTATGGAGGTCCCCAAATCATCCCCTTCCTCTAGTGACTGGGAGTATAGGATAGAGGCTAAATGATGTGTGTCGAGCTCATTCTGAAGCTACTTAAATGCAGGAACATGCACTAACTCTTTCCTAATCCCTGTTGCTCTCACTTCCAGATTGTGAGAAGTGTCAGAATTTCTTCATTGACAGCTGTGCTGCTCATGGGCCCGCTACATTTGTAAAGGACAATGCAGTGGACAAGGGGCATCCCAACCGCTCAGCCCTCACTCTGCCCCCTGGTCTGAGAATCAGACCATCGAGCATCCCTGAGGCTGGGCTTGGAGTATGGAATGAAGCATCTGATCTACCACTGGGTATACACTTTGGCCCTTATGAGGGCCAGATCACTGAAGATGAAGAGGCAGCCAACAGTGGATACTCCTGGCTGGTGAGAATCATCTACCTCTTCCCCTGTCCTCTGGTTTCCCACATCCCTGCTGTGGATTGGTAGGATATCACCCTCTACATGGAAGAGAATAATACAGTTAGTTCTGGGTGCTGAGTAGGCTTTGCATGAACCTGGTGTTCCTACTTAAAGATCAGAGGGTAAGAAGGAGCATAGTGGCACAGACACGCTTCCGGGACCCCTGCTCTGAGTTGACAAAGCAACCCAGATGTGTAGACAATGACGAAAGAGCACATCCTGTGGTCACCCTGGGGACTGATTCCATACAGGCTGAAAGACACTGACCACAGGAGAGTAAAATAATCCCTCTGTTACCTCCCTCCCTGACACACACCAAACAAACAAACAAACAAATATTTAATTTCTCTTTCTCAAACTCAGATGACCAAAGGGAGAAACTGCTACAAGTATGTGGATGGAACGGATAACTCTTGGGCCAACTGGATGAGGTAAGGCCAATAGGGCTCAGGGATCCAGAGAGGACATTCACCTCTCACAAACCTATGTTCCTTTCCTTCTCATCATGTCTCTCTCAATGGCCTCCCTCAATCCTCTGTTCCTCTTTTTTCTCCATGTAATGCTCTTTCATTTCAAGAGAAGTTTATGGGGAAAAGGAGATATGAATATAGTATATATCCTCAAAATATGCTAGACAAAATTTGGACACTGGAAAAACCCCCGAGGAGCCTAAATTCATCAGGAACACTGGATTCACACTTTAATTTATCTGATCAACATTTATAAGCATTTACTGTGTTCCAGTTTAGACAATGGAATCCATTAGTTAAACATATTTTACAACCCATGTCCTGTGGAAGACATAATGCAGATAGATAGTAGACACTTGAGTTTAAGAATATTTAACTATAGGGGAGCCTGGGTGGCTCAGTTGGTTAAGCGTCCGACTTCAGCTCAGGTCATGATCTCACAGTTCGTGGGTTCGAGCCCCACGTCGGGCTCTGTGCTAACAGCTAGCTCAGAGCCTGGAGCCTGCTTCAGATTCTGTGTCTCCGTCTCTCTCTGACCCTCCCCTGCTCATGCTATCTCTCTCTCTCAAAAATAAAAAAAAAAAACATTTAACTATTTTCCCTATTTTTCAAGAGGTATACAGTAGAGAGATAGCCTTAAACAAGGGATCTTTAATATGTGAGGGCAACAGCTCTTCTAGTCTCATTTCTAATAGAACTGGGCTCTGAAGCCTGTATAGGAAGGGACTGCAGTATGGCCACAGGCCTCTGTGCTTCATGACCCACCCTGTTTCCTTGAGGGGCTCTCATTTTATCAGGGGATGCAGTATGTAAATAAAATATTGCTTTTCTTTGTCATTTTTCTAAGTCAAAGAAAGCTCCAAGCTTCTATGAGAACTCAGGGGAGGCAAGTGAATGGTACCTCAGATACAGTGTAGGGAGAATTGAAGAAAGCTCTCTCAAAGGAAGACAGCCACACTTGGGCTGAGTGTGGAATGATGTCTGTTTATCTGGAAGCAGAGTCCACGGTCAAGCATCAAGTTCTATGGTATAAAAGAGAACTTAATTTAGAGTTTAGAGAAACAAAAGGTCACTGGGTTTTGTGACCAATTAAGGTGGCAGTAAGTCTGGAATTGGGATTTGGAAAATGGTTAATCAAGCAAGGGGAAAAGCATTAGAGGAAGGCTGAGGGAAGGAAGCTGAACTTAGATATGGGAATTCATATGATACTGTGAGGGAGACTTAAGTATGAACAGAAGGTTCCTGAGGAGTTGGGGAATGGGCGGCATCACAGCATGGAGGCCTTGAGCACTGGGGCAGATCTGACACATAACGGGAACTTATCTCCTGTGGTTCTCTTTCCCTCTCCCTGCCTCAATCCCAGGTATGTGAACTGTGCTAGGGATGAGGAGGAGCAGAACCTGGTGGCTTTTCAATATCACAGGCAGATCTTCTACCGAACCTGCTGGGTCATCAAGCCAGGCTGTGAACTGCTGGTCTGGTACGGGGACGAGTATGGCCAGAAGCTGGGCATCAAGTGGAGAAGCAAGTGGAAGAGCGAGCTCTCAGCAGGGAAAGGTGGGCGCCACTGCTCTTCAAAACAGAGAAAAGAAAGAATTCTTCTTGGCAGTTTCCATGTCCGACTCTCAAGTAGAGTAAAATCTGGTCTAAAATCAGTAAGATTGCAATTCAGATGCTTCAGAAATAAGGCGTCATTTCATATGCATTGGACTCTTAGAAATAATTTAAGTTTTTCATTTTTGTTATGATTTTTTAAATACTTCATGCATAAAATATGTAACAGAAT